CTAATAACCTGTTTTTACATTTTTCGCATATTACAAAGGCGGGGACCCGATTCGAAGACTCATGAACAGCCAGCTACAAAGTGATTTTCATGTGTAACAGGAAATAACTTTAAGGTGGGGTGGAGGGGCTAAAGGAAAGTCAGAAGCCCTGCAAGCGGTATCTGAAACCAGTAGTATAGGTGTTTATGTCTCATTAAATCCACTCGGAGCGACACACTAGGTGACATTTGACTAAACAAGAACACATGCTGCTGTGGATAGTTAACTGGGCTATATGAAATGAGGTTGAGAGAAAGGGATGCAGCACTAGAAGGTAAGACAAAAACGGGGTAGGGGTTGTGCTACAACCATTGGACATAAAATTGACTTACTTGTCACTGATAAGGTGTAACTCTGTGATGCCTATGGATAGCACCTTTTACTGATGATGGCGGCAAGACGTTGGGAATGTACCTAGTTAACCGTACGATGCTTGAAATCATCATGAATACTATGGCAGAGGATGCAGAACTATATATGTTCAACAAGGTATTCCTGTAACTCCGACCAAATTGTAAAAACCAAGTCTAAGTAAGACTATACTATAATTCGTTTTATACATAAGCCATTGCTGACTCGAAATAAAGCAACATTACTAAACCTCTTGCCTAAGTACTTTATCTTCATGTAATATAGTCCTTAGAAGCCTTCATTTGACTCTCTTTACCCACTTGTCCTCATTATCGTTGGTAAATTTCTGTATTTATTAAGATGTTTGTTATCTGAATGAAGGTTAGACTGGAAAGAAGCCTTGAAGCAAATTCTTCTAGCTTGTTTTATTTTGTCGAAATTGTTCTTTATTCCTACTTAATTTTACCTCTGCTTATGTGAACATGTCTTTTTTGCCCTTGTTTCACTTTATTACCTTTTTTCTTGCTCTCTTGATTGTCTAGGAGCAGATGATTCAGTCCTTCACAGAAAACAAGCCGAGTAAAAGGTCTCGAGGTGGACTGCTGCCGATGGTGCGCATTTACGAACGTTTTTCCCAGCTGGCAAACTCGGCTTTTGCTGACTCTGGACGAATAAGTGATTTGGAGCGCGCGCATGGAGAGCTGGTGCGTTCACTTATGACTGAAATCGAGCGCGTGGCCTCTGAGAGCGTGAAGACGCCACGAGAAGTTGTTCAAATGGGTAAGTTGTCAATATGACTCTAACAGCAAATTGCTCAATTTCACGAATTTGAATGTTCACATGCAATAACAGATATATTATAGATGTACAGTGACAACGAAGCATTTGTTCTCTGCAATGTTTTTCAAAATTGGAAGTAGATATTAGATTCCCTATCTCTCACCTTGGCTCTTTTCGGTGTTATTGTTAAATATGTTATACCTGTTATTGATCTATCAATAATGAATCACTTTGGGTTTTTAATGAATGCATTTCTTCCCAATTGTCCCAAAAATAATTACGGATTTTTTAGGACCTTATAGATATAAGATTTTGTTTTAAATTTATTTTTTTCCTGTCATTAATCCGTCAGCTTCTCTCAATGAAAATTCTATCAGTATTCTGCAGGTTACACTGTATTTGTTCTGTCTTCCTGGAAACTCATAATTACGTCCTGCCAACATTTTTGCAGCCCATGATTAGCTATGCTTATCACTGACCTCCTATCAATTATGGGTTCATTAGGGTTTTTACGCTTTGTTTTTTATCATTTTGTGCAAACAAGCAGATTAGCTTAGCCTAATTTTTTGCAG